GTCGGCCATTTAGCATGTCAATCTCCATCAGCAATCAGCAGAAAGCAGATGCAATGCGCAGTTATAGGTACTGTGCACATACGCTTGTTTATATATTAATATTTAGCATGCAGAACATAACTCCACGTTTAATCCCCGATTTATGAATGTGTAATTGTCTGACCAAACAATTAAAATGTTAATTATGCAAGAAAACCTTGTGTTTTGGTCATCTGAACAACTTATTTAGACAACTTAAACCGAACCGGACGATTTGGTCAAGCGCACTTTTAAACACATTTTAGTTTTGCTATAGAAAGTATACAAATTCATACTCTGATTACATAGAGCAGCAGCAGGAAGTGCTTGAGGTTGTCATGGCAACCAGATACACTGCATGCGAATTATTATTTAATTATTTTGCCACCGTTTGCCACACTAAACCAAAGACTAGAATACCCAAGACATGTCACTGGTATAGTTTTGAATGGGGGAAAATGCAACGCTCAATATGGCCGCTCAATTGCAGGAAGCCCCGCCTATTGAATGAAGGAGCCAATTGCTAATTGGTAAATTCAGTCTCTGCAGCTGCCGTTAGAAGTCCCGGTTGCTATAGAAACAGTCAGCATTTTGAAATTGAGACATGAGCTCAGGGCTGCGCATGTGCACTGGCTGATCTAGCCTGAATAATAAGCTTTTTATAACATGATTCGAGCAAAATAAACAACATTTATGACACAGTTGATATCAGATTTCTTTAGTGATTTCAAATATGATATTTAATTGCAAGCTTAGTGAACAGTTTTGTAGAATTTGATGTTTCCCCATTCAAAGAGATAGCAGTTGCACTTACATGCCCGAGAGGCGTTTCAAAGATGGCCGCCGAGTGATATGACTTGTCTTAAAGGGGTCATATGATGTTGCTAAAAAGAACATTATTTTGTGTATTTGGTGTAATGAAATGTTTATGCGGTTTAAGGTTAAAAAAACACATTATTTTCCACGTACTGTACATTATTGTTTCTCCTCTATGCCCCGCCTTTCTGAAACGCCTCGATTTTGTAGATTTTTACAAACCTCATCGGTCTGAAAAGCGAGGTGTGCTCTGATTGGCCAGCTATCCAGTGCGTTGTGATTGGCCGAATACCTAAAGCATGTGACGGAAATATTACGCCCTTACCATACTGTGATGCTCTGTCCAGCCGGAGCGACGAGACAAAAACATACATTGTAGTCTACTCTTCCATGATCAGGAAACAGTCCTCCATAAAATGCCGATCCGAGAGTTGAAGAGGTGAAGAATTATACCAATCATGGAAGTGAGCATCATTTTTCAGAAAATAATATTTTTGATCAGGCTGAAACCAGTAGACATTGTTCCGGATATCCATTTGCAGCCCACTGAAGAAAAGATAGTCTAAACCCAATCCGGCTTTCACAATGAAACACACAGGGCCTTCACGACATGGAGAGAAAGGAAAAATTGAAATCGCATCATATGACCCCTTTAAAGGGACTTTGACTAAACTTAGCAATAAACACGTTGAAAATAATACACAATAAACATGTCTGTCAAAATGATATCAAAGGAGGCTTTTATTAATCAAATCAAGGAGTGAATTACTCATCCACTGAAAAAACTTTAGCTGGGTTTCCACAGGCAGGGTCACAATTATCTACAGTGTATGTGTCACGGTTCATGGGCTCACTGACTCATTCTAGCCCTCTCCGTGTCATTGTGGGTGTGGGTGTGGTTGTGTTGCCGGTGATCAGCGCCATCAGCTGATTAGCGCCAGCTGTGGCTTATCAGCTGGCCTATTTAATGTCTGTGTTTTCTGTCCGGTGTTGTCAGATCGTTTTATGTTGTTACCGTGTTCAGTTTGTGTCTCTCTGTTTCTGACCAGTTCCTGGAGTTTCCTCCTCTCCTCTGCCGTGGGCTTCGCTGCACGGATCCTCGATCATCGGCTGCTCGTTGTGTCCCTGCGCTACCCGGAGTTACCTCCACCTTTCACCTATCTGACTCTCGTCATCTTCCTTGTTGGGTTTCCCAATAAACATTGTTTTGCACATTCGCTACTGAATCCTCATTCTTTCTCCCTGACAGTATGAAGCTAAAGGTTTTTGGGTTAAGGTTCATAATGTAGAACATTTTTAACATTGTATGCTGTATGTGCATAGGTAGCTATAGCAAACAAGGAATACAGCTTGTGACGATTTCAAAATGAAATAACTAAATTACAATGAATTGTTCATCTGTCTTGCATTTATCAGTTATCATTTATATGGGAAATCACTCTGTGATCATTATGTACAAATATCAAAAATGTCAACATTTCTTGGATCTACAGTCATTTTTATAATGAACGAATTAAGATGATGACGTCTTTAGTCCAGCCCTTTTTACCTTTATTTGGCCGATGCGCATCACCCACGGGAATCGTCCAGCTACGGGGCGGTGGTAACGGCTGGACTGAGACTGGGCAGGAAATGGCAGAAGGAAGTGACGAGTCAGGAAGTGAGATGGGATTCGAAGATGGTGGGGAGAATAGTGTATGGAATGTAGTACGATCGAGAAAACGGAAAAAAAAAAAATGAAACAACGAATATGGATGAAACTGATAGTGAGCAAAGTGTTATTGTAACAACAAGGCAGGAAGAAGAACATAAAGTGATCGTAAAATTATATGAAGAAGGGACGATGTTTGGTGAGTGGAACCCGGTTAAATTAACAAAAGCAATAAATACATTGCTGGGTGAGATCAAAAATGCTAAGGTATTGAGGAACGGCTCACTGTTGATTGTAGAAATAAAGTGCAGCAAGAAACGCACCAATATGGCGGCGACGTTGACGTGCGGTCGAGCGGCCAATGAGGAGTCTAGGTATTTATTATGTCTATGTTGGCAACGGCTGGACTGTGACTGGGCAGGAAATGGCAGAAGGAAGTGACGAGTCAGGAAGTGAGATGGGATTCGAAGAAGATGGCGGGGGAGATAGTAGTGTATGGAATGTAGTACGATCGAGAAAACGGAAAAAAAAAGGAAATGAAACAACGAATATGGATGAAACTGATAGTGAGCAAAGTGTTATTGTAACAACAAGGCAGGAAGAAGAACATAAAGTGATCGTAAAATTATATGAAGAAGGGACGACGTTTGGTGAGTGGAACCCGGTTAAATTAACAAAAGCAATAAATAAATTGCTGGGTGAGATCAAAAATGCTAAGGTATTGAGGAACGGCTCACTGTTGATTGTAGAAATAAAGTGCAGCAAGAAAAAGCCTTACGACGAAATAAAATCGATAGTAAGAGAGTGCAGTGTTCGTTATTTGAGTACAAAAAATTGATTCGAGGAGTCATTTCAGGGATACCTACAGACATTTCAGAAGAACAAATGAAAGATAATATGACAGGGGCAAAAGTTTTGGAAGTAAAACGCCTTACAACAACTAGAAATGGAGAGAAATGCAACAGCTTGTCTGTTATGATTAAGTTTGATGAATCAAAACTTCCTGGCAAGGTGTACATCGGATACATGAGCTATGAGGTCAGGCCATATATTCCTCCACCACTGAGGTGCTTTAAGTGCCAGAAATATGGTCATGTAGCAGCAATATGTAAGGGCAAACAAAGATGTGGCAGATGTGCAGGTGAACATGAGTACGGAAAGTGTGGAGAGGGAGTAGAGCTTAAGTGCTGCAACTGTGGAGGACAACACAGCTCGGCTTACCGCGGATGCGAAGCCAGCAAGAGGGCAGTGGAGGTGCAACGAATGAAGGCATTACAAGGAATAACATATGCAGAAGCAGTAAAGAAAGTGTCTAGAGAAAAGATTGTTTATAAACCAGCAAATAATGAAACTAAAGAAGCAAACAATGAAACTAAAGATAGACCTTGCGGGAGCTGTGAGAAGATTATGGAAAAAAAAGACATGCTAATTATGAGCAAAAATGAATTTGTATTGTTCATGATTGAGGTAATCAATTGCTCGGCACAGACAGAAAGGAAGACTCATTTCGCATTATGAAATAGCAGTTAAAAAAAGAACAGCAGATCATTTATCGGTGTACACAGTAGAGCTTTTAGCAATTTTATTGGCATTACAGTGGCTGGAAGGAAATAAACAGAACCAAAATTTAATCATAGCTTCTGACAGCTTATCTGCTCTATCTAGTATTCAGTCTGGGAAAACATCATGTAGACAAGATATCATATACCAGATATTCAACTTGCTTTTAATACTGTATGATAAAGGGCTGGATGTTTCCTTCCTTTGGGTTCCTGCTCATGTAGGGGTGGAAGGAAATGAGATTGTAGATATTCTGGCAAGAGGAGCAATAAAGCATGAAACAGTTGATATACAAATACCGTTACGTAGAACAGAAATCAAAACCATTATTAAGGGACATACAAGCAAAATGTGTCAAGATTACTGGGACATAACTGATACTGAACGACATCTGTATAACATACAAAAACAAGTAGGCTTAAATAGTATTAGGCAGAGCAGGAATCCAAAGGAAGGAAAGATAATTACACGTCTTAGAATAGGTCATGCTGGTTTGAACTTTACATTACAGAGAATAGGAAAACACCCCACTGGTCTTTGCAACCACTGCAACACACAAGAGACAGTAAAACATATTTTATTAGATTGTAAAAGGTATGAAGAAGAAAGAAGGGAGTTAGAAACACAAGTTGGAAAACAAAACATGACAGTGGGAAATCTGCTTGGAAAAACAATGTCTAGGGAAATACATAGTCTCCTAATGAATTATTTGAGAAATACTGGGATAATTGAAAGAATTTGATGGAGATATATAGGGGGAAAGGAGAAGGTATGTGTGTGTGTATATATATATATATATATGTGTATATGTATATATATATATGAATGTAGCAGGGTGGTATAACCCTTATTGCTATTGGCTGAGGTTATGCTGGAACTTTAAACCTATCAGAGCTTGTTGTGGGGGCTATAAAAACGGGAGTGTTTTGTAGCTTGGGATGCACCATTGGTGGTACTGCCCCTTTTTGTGGGTCCTTCCATTGTGAATTGACGGTAGGTGTAGTAGCGGTGAAGCCGCAAATTTGTGGAAGGATACAGGGGATGGTAATATCAATGTGCTTGTTACCGCCAGGATCGTTGTTTCTGGTTTTCCGGCTGCTGTGTTGGACGCTCACGGTGGTTTACAGGTAGGCTTGTTTAGTTGTTAAAAGGAGTTTTGTTTATTAAGAAGAGAGGCTGATTTGTTATGTTTGTAGTTGTCGTCACACAAATAGCCTGCATTTCCTATGACTGGTAAAGATGTGTAGTACGCCGCCATAACGCTCCCGCGGTATGTAAAATGGTGAGTTTCCTTGTTTTTAATTCTCAGTATATTGTGAGTAACTCACTTTTCCATGTTCGGCAGGTAACTGCACGTGTAAGGGTTTCTGGACTTTTGTTAGTTTGGGGCAGAATACATCTACTGCTGTGACGGCGCTGCTGTTTTGCCTGGGTCTCATCTTGATTAATTGGGTTACGTTCGTGAGTTTGTTTATGCCATATATGCTTGTGTGTGTGTGTGTGTGCAGAGCGCTGTCTTTGTACTTTTGACTGAATTGCCTGCCACTATGATGACTGTTGTTGTTCATTAAATATTATTATTCAATAAATGTTATATAAATAAATTTAGTATTTAGTTTTGGGAAACTGTGTGTGTGTGTGTGTGTGTGTGTGTGTGTGTGTGTGTCTGTTGGGGGTGGGGGGATTGTATTGTGGTTGTGTGAGTTATTTGTTTCCTTGAGCAGATATTTGACTATCTGTGGTTTTGTTTTTTTTGTTTCGGAGTGTAATTTTGTTTAGGTTTTTGTTTTCTGTATTTTGTGATTTTTGTAATTTCTCTTGTTGTATTTTTCAGTCAACTTGTATAGTGGGAGAGCCCAGCTGTGGTTGTAATGTGTACACAGAGTGTTGTGATTTTAATAAGTTTGCTGTGCTTTCACAAGTGTGTTTTTCTTATTTTCGAGTTGGGTGGAAGGCTGAGGACTCCTGCTGGCCATCTCCTTTACTTTCAATTTTTTTGTGTATCTGTATGTATAATTTGGAATTGTGTTTTGGTGATTGAGACCTTCTGTAGAATTATTGTATGGTGTGGTTTTAACTTTTGTATTTCAATAAAGTGCTTGTCTTTATATGTTCTGTCCACGTCTCCATGCTCACCCTGTCTTGGTAGCGAACCTATGTGCTTTTTGATAAGGTTATTTCCCGGTGTATTCTGGGTGGCGTAGTCGATTTAATAGTTAGATATTGTAAATGCTTCCAATTTGACTGCCTTGGCCACATATATATATATATGTATATGTGTATAAACAATTTTTTTTCTTCTCCTCTCCTTGTCCTTTCTTTCAAAGTACTGCCCACACTCCAGTCCAGTAGGTGGCGGTAAATGCACCTTTCAGTTGGTTTGCCAACCGCCAATAAAATTTGAAGAAGAAGCATCACCCACGGCAAGATGGCGGCGGCAGCCGGGAGGCATTGAGTATACCGAGCGGAGCTCCTCTTGAAGACTCCTGTGGCGATTTATTGTTTTATACGCAGAAAAAGTGTGCTTATCGTCGGCGCTCTACTGCATTTAAAAGCTAAATGCAGAAAATATGACGAGGCATATTTTGCTCTCGGCTTCACTCAACTCACCGTGTCTATACCGGACGCTACAGTTGTGCGTCGCGCCGCAACAACTCTACACTGGACGTGACAAAGCGACCGTTGCAAATCATTTGAACTTTGTGTCAGTACGTCATAAATAGAACGAGGCATCAGTTTAATGTCGGGGTTTTTCGTGTCGCGCCCTATACAGTCTATGGTCGCGCCGCATCCAGTGTACACAGTGTCACTGATGCCACTCGCGTGAGGAGGAAAGCCTATTTTTTTCCCTGTAGGTTTTTTAAATTAAAAAAGCATTAATTTTTTCATAATGTTTAGTGAAATTATTTGGTAGTCTGAGGTGGGATGGGGATTCGGGAAAGGGGGGAGCCAGATTTTTTAATAGGTTTAAAGGCAGGCGCGACCAAAAAAGTTTGAGAACCTCTGGTCTAAAGTTAACAGACAGTGTTTAAAAAGTGCAGTCCACATGTTCACATATGTTTATTACAATGAATTTGAATTACCTAAAGTAGTGTGGTAAAGCAACATAGCTTGTCTTTGTTGAATAATACAGAACATAAAGAGCTTTAAAAAATAATTGCATATTAAATCACAATCGCAATATTGGTAAAAAAATATCGCAATTAGATTATTTTCCAAAATCGTTCAGCCCTAAGTACAATTCAGACTGCTGTGGATGATTGTTGACTGTTTTTGATAGGGGATTTAATTTTTTTTTTCTTTTTTTCTTCTCTCACAATATTTTGAATATTTGAACTATTTGCTGTGGATTGCTTACTGTTTGAACTACTGCTATTTTTTGGCTGGAAAATTTGGAACTGATTTTGGTGTTTGTTTTTGTCCCTCTTTCATCAAAAGACTTTATCAGACACTTGAATTGCTCACTCTTGAATATACATATTTGAATGCAATTCTATGTGTCCTGTTGTGTTGAATGAGTTGTGTTTTCTATTGAAAGGTGATTATTATTGGTATTATTGCATTGATTGCTGGTGCAAAATCCTTATCTCATTAAATTATGGGTTTTGTGTAAGACAAATTTGACTACACAAGATCTTTGTACGTTTTCTCTACTAGAAACTTAAAATATTAAAGCTTGTGAGAAGGAAATCACACTCAAATGAACTTTCACCTTATCATTCAAAAAGACTAAAACGCAACAACCAATTCTACAAACAAAATGGCTGCATCTCCGATCAAGTCTTGTCACAAAATGGACGGAGATCAAAATCAAACCCCAACAGAGGTCTTTAAAGAGGATCTTATGGACGTAATGACTTTAGAACAGGATGGAACTCAATCCCTTCTTCCTAGTTCATTGGAAGGATTTCAGGCACCTTCATCTCATTATACTCTGCTGGATATGGACTTAACAGGAAGTTTTAATCTCAGACCCCCTTTATCACCTTCCTCTCAGCCCTCATTGGGAGTAACTGGATTCATGGACACTCTGACACTTCAGCAATTTCGTGAAATGACCAGCAAACAATACCAGAGTCTGAAAGACACCTTTTCCACTGAAATTGGTCAGTTGAAACATACCGTAGATACTTTCACTTTAAATGTGGATACTGCATCGGTGAAACAAACAACAGAAATAAAACAGCTTATGAGTTATCAGTTTGAATACTTCAGAAAGGAGTTTAATAACATGCTGCATTGGCGACTAAAGAATCATCATACAGAGGTATTGAAGGATTTCAATTGTAGCGTCTGGACCAATCAAACACACAATTTTTCATGTTTGCTCATAACTGGAGTCCCTTAATCATGCCGATTTATGCTACAGGCTCTCTGTAGAACTGTACAGTAAGAAAGTTATTTACCTTAATCAGGAAATTAATGTTCTTAGAATTGACAGACAGTTGACCCTGAGAGGTCAAGTAAATATCTACAGCGGATCTAAATATTTATAATTAATTATAACTAGTTATGATTAATTATTCATATTTCCCCATGAGCTGATTCGCTACACAATGCTGTCATGGAACCAATAGCTAACACTCTGGATCTCATTCAAAAGGCCACTGATCAATGTACTCAACAAATGAACACTTTTATTTCTCAGACAAGTTCAAATGGCAATTTACAGGATGAATTTCACCAGTGTACGCAACATTTTCATAAATTAGCTCTGGACATGGAAGCTTTCAAGTCATCGCAGCTGAGTTCAGTGAAAGCAAATGCATCTGTGCAAACAATTACGTCTTCATCCCCTTCAACTGTGGTGGAAACTCCGGTGGTGAATACCAGATTACAACGACTCCATTCAACATTTCAATATGGACTGGGTGATTCTGAGTTTAATCCCATACATGAATCTGCTACCGCCGAAGGCAGAGGACGTTTTATGGGGAAACAGCCCATTAAAATCCAGTTTCCTTGCTTTGGTCGACTAGAAGACTGTGAGGATCCTTTGATTTTCCTGGAGAAATGTTATGATTTTATGGCTCTCCACCCCCTTTCAGATGAAGAATTAATAGCGACACTCAGGAATGTGCTCCATGGAACCGCTAGAGAATGATGGGATGTTGCTCGACTTGAAACAACCACTTGGCAGGAGTTTGAATCCAAGTTTCTTGCTGCTTTCTTGTCAGAAGACTATGAGGATGAGTTAGCGGAGAGTAAGAACACGTGTACAGCAGGAAGATGAGAGCATAAGAGATTTTGCTTACATGTACCGAGCTCTGTGCAAACCCTGGAAGCCACAAATTTCAGAGGATGAAGTCATTAAGCTGATCTTGAAGAACATCAATCCTCAGATGGCAAGTCAACTTCGAAGTAATGGAGTTACTTCTGTTGACACTTTAGTCCGTCTTGGGCAACAGCTGGAAAAGGATAAGGAAAACCAGCTACAATATGAACAACGGAAAAAACCTTGGAAACCCAGAGTAACTAGTAGCGATGCTCCGATCCACCTTTTTCGCCTCCGATACCGATTCCGATACCTAGGGTTCGGTATTGGCCGATACCGATACCAGCGAAGTATATGTAGAATTTATATATCTCTGTGTGTGGAACTGATAATCATTCTTTCACAATCTACTAGATACAGACTACTTCATTATAAAGAAAAATAAAATAAACAATATTTGTAATAATATAAACAAATATAAAAAAGTATAGGCCTATGTATATTTATAATCTATGACAAAAATGTATCATAAACTAGGTTAGTGGATAATTCGGCAGGAAAAGTTATTCTAGAAAAATCAGTGCACAATAATTTTAGAAATCCAAACATTTAGTGAAAAAACAATATTTTGTGGGGAACAAATAAAAGTGTTGCACTAAATATGGTAAAATGTTACACATTGCTATTTGTATTATTATAAAATCCATTCATTAAAAACATTCATGAATGT